AAAAAAAAAAGTATAATAGAATATTTATTGGCATCTACTTTGATTGATATCCATGCCTTTCTGGCTATTAAATACTTTAAATATTCATTGCTCTGGGACCAGCAGTTAGCGTAATGGCTATGTCACTGGACTCCCACGTCGTCAATCGCGGTTTGAGTCCCGGACCTAGTGGCTTAAACTCACGCCAGGCATGTGTGCGTGCATGCCCAAGATCCCAAGAGGAGAATGGAGGAGAAGGGATTGCGGCGTGGCCATCCCCTCGGGGGGTGATTTCTCGCTTTCTATCTCTCTGTCTCTGTCTGGCGAGCACACGTGCCCTATAGCAAAAACCTCTCCAAAAAAAGAAAAAAAATTTCAATGCTCTTGCTTTCTAGTGTCTTGATTGTATTTTGTTCTCTACATTACATTGGCCACATTGGCAAAAAGTATAGGTAATCGTATAGGTCAAAAAGAAAAAAGAGACTCCCACTAGGGCATCCAGAAGGACACTGATTCCTCTACCACTTATTCAGTGTTTCTTATTCTATGTCACATCAGCATATTGGGTTGCTAGATGAGTCTTTATCTTTTATAGTAGCCATCAGTATACATCCTTGTCTGCCTTCCTGTTCCTCAGAGAAACCACTAAAGCAATGGTATCAAAGATGGCCTCCTTTCTTTCCACCCAGGACACAAAAGACAGCCGTTGTCATGCTGTGGTATACTATTCACCCACAGAACACTAGGAATAGGGGGGAAAGCAAGAATTATGATTTCAAAGGAATTCCTTGAAGACAAAGATTTTATGTTAAATCCAAAGATATAAAGTCCCTTGTCAAATAGGAAAGATGTACAGTATTATGACATTTTTAATTTTTTTAGGGGTTTTAACATAATCCATTCTACCTCACCTCCTCGATTCACATGTCCGTCATGAACGAGGTATTATACTTAGGTAAAGAGAAATTTAAAATTACACTAAAGATATGGCTTAGGCTTATGGAAGTGATTCCGAATTTATATTTTCTCATATACCGGTAAATTATTACTTATTTCATCATGTGCTACTTTTTCTTTTTTTTTTTTTCTTTTTTTACTCAGGACACTGAGGTAGGAGAATTGTGACATAGTGAGACTATGTCTAAAAATAATACCACACAAACACACACACACAATACACGTGCATGCACATATGGGGTCTAATAACTTGAAACAAATTCTTTAATATGAAAAAGATACATCTGATAAAACTACAACCATAAAAATTATTTTTTGCTTTGGTTTTAAAATATGGTATCTTGAGGTTCTTACTCAATCAAATCATTTTTTCTTCCTCACATTTGAGTGACACTTGGTTGGACCGAGACAGAAGCACAATAGATCATATTGTCTTATCTTCCCACAACTGGGGAATCTATAGTACTTATGATTTCCTGTCACTCAAATAATAAGTAATGTTCTTTCCATCTAATGCTTTTTTTTTTATCAAGGGAACAAAGTACAGCTAACATCAGATATGTGCCACTTCTACTTAAGACATTTAAGATATGACAGGAAAAATGCTGTCAACTTCTCTCACATTTCTTCAAGCAACAGAATATTTGTATTGATCCTTTTTATGTTAAATTCAGCTAATCCTCAAAAAACTTTTTTAAATTTAGTTAATCCTCCCTAGCATCCTATATCTTGCCTTCAGAACAATGATCACAAAAAGAATAAACAAACAAGTATTTAATAGCAAGGCCCCTGAAGGCAGAAGCTGACTGTCCACCGATATATGCCTAGAATCTATCAGAAGTTATAAACCATAGTAAGTACACCGTTTCACACATTAGGTTATTGAATGGATTTTGATACATTTAAAGCACTTTTAACTCATTTCAAAAAGATTATTATACATGTCTTCAAGTAAGTGCAATAACAACGTTAAATCTCAAAATAGATATTCTAAAACTTTCAAGAAACAGAAACTCATATGTTAGTCATATTCTTCCTTGGGAGACTAGAGTCTATTTAGATTTAAACCATCATATTTTTATGTTCCAATGAAAAGTATATGAAAATTTTATATATCCATTGTTGTATACATATTTTAGCAAGTGTTGACCAACAGGGTAATGCTTAATATTAGTTAGCTGGCACTAAACTTAAGAATTAGGCAGGGAAGGGACCAGCAGTTAGCAAAATGGCTATGTTGCTGGACTCCCATGTAGTCGACCACGGTTTGAGTCCCGAACCCGGTGACTTAAACTCACACCGGGCGCATATGCGTGCATGCCCAAGATCCTGAGAGGAAAATGGAGGAGAAGGGACTGCGGTGTGGCCATCCCCCCTGGGGGGTGATTTCTCACTTTCTGTCTCTCTGTTTCTCTCTTTCTGGCGAGCGCGCGAGCCCACACCCAAAATAAAAAAAAAAAAAAAAAAAAAAAAAAAAGAATTAGGCAGGGACCAGCAGATAGCATAGCAGTTATGTTGCTGGACTCCTACATGGTTGACCAGACCCAGTGGCCTGAAACTCTCACTGAAAGTGTGTGCATGCATGTCTAGAATCCCAAGACGAGAACGGATTGCCGCATGGCCGTTCCTCCTGGGGGGGTGTTTCTTATTTTCTGTCTCTCTGGCAAGCACATAAGCCCTGCAGCCAAAAAAAAAAAAAAATTAAAAATTAAATAATTTGGCACATGTCTGATATGATACAAAGTATTTGATGTTATGAAGTCATTTAGCATTTAATGTAATTCTTTGGTATACCAGAAAATTGTCTAGTGGTCATAGCTCAATGAAGATAATGTTCTTATGAATTTTCTTCATTTTAAAAAAAAGTGAGTATTAAGCCCTACAATGTGGTAGAAGGTGTTCTAGGTGTGTGAGACAAATTCCTTTAGTACTTACATTCTAGTAAGAGGAAGGAAAAAAAAAAGCAATAAGGAAATGTATGCTGTATCAGGAGATGGTAAGTGTTAAGAAAATAAAGCGGGGACATATGTGTCAGGAAGTAAGCTGGAGGAAGAACTGGTATATCCTATTCAGAGTGGCTTGGGTATACAAAGGGGGATGTCACTTACCAAGTCCCTTTAAGCTGAAGTACTACACTAGCAGATTATTGGTCTCTACCCAGTCAAAAGAAAACCAGGCATGAGAACTGCACAGCTGTAAGACATGTTCATTCATACCTCTTAGTTCTGAATAATATCAGTTGTCACTGGTCTGAGCCAGACTCAATCCAATAGTCAGACTACAGACTACAGTTCATACCCCAATGAAAGAATTATAATATGTTATTATTACTGCTCAGAAAGTGACAGATCACAGGTTCAACAATGCTAACTATAGCAATTGCAAGATGGAAGAGTTTATGGGGTATAAATGGGTAGAACGTTCCACATAAATCATTTTTTCTCTTTAAAGCCTTAAATTTGCAACCTAATTTAACACTGTTATAAAGCCAGTTAGGCTTATTTCATGTAACAGACTTCTCTGCTGATAAATAAATAAAGTAGTCCCTAGTTGGACTCCTCTAATTCCCATCTAGACTATAGTTCACCTCCCAGATATAAAGTTCTACATTCTCTCCTGGTTCTACAAGTTTAAAATTTTTAGATATTTTGATTAATATTTTAGTAATGATAGTGCTTCCCAAAAAGTTGGAAAATGTAGCGATGATAAAATTTGCTGTAACAGACGCCTTTATTACTTCAAGTGACTTTTTGCTACAGATAATTGACAACTTGATTTTCTTTGAGTTGAAACTAAAGGAAAATAGTGTAAGTAATCCTAAATCTTTGCATATTTTATCTTTTCCCAGAAGTTTATTTCCAAACTCCTGGGCCCTAACTTTATTCTGCAATTTTTTTTTTTTTTACAAAATTACTGTGATAAAGCCATTGACATCATTAATTGCATATTTTAAGCATTCATATGGTGAATGACATCACACTAGCTTTTTTGACTCTATAGAACATGATAAATATAAGAATTTTTACTCATCTAATCATTCCAGTTTTGTCATAGCCATGATGTAGGGTCTCTTCATTGCATCAAAAAAGTGAAACAGGTCATTCAAACTAATGCTTATGTATGTGAACATTCACACCAGTATACAGGGACAAGCTTATGAAGTAGAGGAGAAAGGAAAAACAGCCCCAATAAGTGGCTTAGCACTCAAAAGTCGGGAAATAACTAAACCAAGAAGGAGCAGGACAGGTCTCATCAAATCCAGACCATAAGATACTTTAGTAAATTCACATTGGAGCCTATGCAGAATTCTTTTTCTAGGTCTGTGCTCCACCATCAGGAGGTTCTAGAATGGAAGAATTACAATGATGATTCCAGGTTGAATATGAGGTCTAAGATGCTGAAAGAAATAGTGAAATAAAAGGATGACAGATGTATGTAGCAGCTCCAGGACATGATTTCAATAAGACCCTATCACAGGGAGCCTTCATCCTGCCTCCACTCCTTGTTACTCCATTTGCTCCTATTTTCTGCCTGGTTACAACAGCAGACTTCATTTAAAGCATGCTCCAAATCTTAATGGCTTCTCTTCTAAGAATCCTTTCCTAATTAATTTTTCAACATTTGTTATAATAAAAAGTGACTTTATTACTCAGTTATTGTATGAAGTCACCCTGAGGACTAAAAAATATGAACTGGCATGACTGGAATACTGTTTCTAAAGCTGTTTTTAAAAACTTGAACAACTGGGCCAGCAGGTGACATGGTTGGTAAAAGCACTGGACTCCCACATGGCCAACTTTGTGGTTCAAATCCTGGACCAGGCAGCTTGAAACTCACACCAGGAACATGTACATGCATGATCAAGATTCCTGAGGTGATTTCTCACTTTTCTCCTCACTGTCTTTCTCTGTCCCTCCAGGCACACACCCTAGGGCAAAAACCTTAAAAAAAAAAATCAAACAACAACAAAAAAGTAGTAATGAGTTTTAAGGATGAGACCAGCCTCACTTATTTCTATAGGTTCTCTCACATGTTACTAAAGAAAATGAAAAAAATACTTCCAGCATTGTTTGTTCTAGGCACTTCAACATTTTGGCACTAGTGAATGCTTTATGTTGCTTTTGCTTCCAGGAGCCTCAGCTGCCAAAGGGTGACACTGCACAAGAACATGTTTCTCACTTACATTCTAAATTCTATGATCATCATCATCCACCTGGTTGAAGTAGTGCCCAATGGAGAGCTAGTGAGAAGAGATCCGGTAAGCACTGCATGGTTTTGTTACTGATTTTCTCTTAAAGGATATAGTACTTTTAATTAGTGAACATGGTGTTCATGGGTGACTAAGCAGCAGTTTACATGTATAATTCTATGGACTTCTACAGTTGAGTTTTGCATGAAGCCAGGCATATCATTTCTATGTAGTTCTTGGAAGTAACTTGTTACATGCTATAGCAAAGAGCTGAGAATAATTGAATCACAAGCAAATAAGAATCACCCAACAAACAATGAGTTTTTTATGATTTATTGATACTTTATTCACACCTGTGGGAAATGTACCAAGCAAGTCTTGTGAACATAGATGATACGAGGTGCACTAAAATCGTGCTTCCCAGTGGACTCAGTGGGCCACTAACATTTACAGGTGTGCTTCAGTATGGGCCCCTTCAGCATGCTGGTGTCAGACTGGGCATGGCCAGTCACCTCAGCTATGAGCAGTTATACACATACTCTAATGCGCCATGCAAGTATTGACAGGTTCTATGTCTGCATGCTTTAAAAAAGGCTTATACTGACATAAGATAATGCCAACATTTGGGAGCAACACGACATATATCCATATGCACCATTGTGACAAACAAATCTGGCAAGTTACCTCCTTCTATATGAGTATTTTGGAGAACGGGAGCTGTAATCATTTAGCTCCATTACTGAGAACCATTCAGGATTCCTTCTCCCAGAATTCTCCTGAGGGTTGTTCACAGCAACTTTGATTTCTCTTTGGTCTTCTCTAGATCTAAGATTGAGTGTGTGTGTGTGTGTGTGTTTTCACTGTGGTTGCAAACCTAATCACACTGCAAAATCAAGTAGGAAATTTTGTAAATATTAGACAGCTGCTGTCCCAGTGCTAGAAATTCAGTAGGTATGAAGTTGAGCCAGGAAACCTGGGTGTTTTTTCTGTGCTGTCCGGTTTTTAAATCATTGTCCAACTACTGGATAAAGCAAATGAGTTAGCTAAAGAAGGCAGAGGTGAGTTACCCTGAAGCTTTAGTCATTTATTGATATTACAAACTAACTAAATCAGTCCCTGATACTACAAACTAACAAAAGCCAGAACTGAAAGGGATTTTGAAGGTTTGACTTTTTACTTTATAGAGGAGTCAAAATCCAAGAATGAAAAGACAAAGTGATTTGCCCCAAATCATGTAACTGGTCAGAGGGTTGGAGGAGGAGGCAAGGGCTTAAATCTAGGTCTCATTACTTTCCATTTCTCTTTCCTTCGCATCACTATGTTGCAAAACGAATTATAAATCAGTGTAGGGAGTAGCTACACCACACTGGTTGAAGAGGTTTCCAAATCTATTAGATTGATTTTTTTTTTAATGAAATTACTTTGTGCTATGATAGCAAGTAAGTACTTACTTTATATAAATTTTTATTTATCAAGTCTGTGAAGTATTTAAATAATGGCTAATCACAGTTTCTATTATTTAATAGACATTATGTTCTCTGTAAATATTTCCATCTCAAAAAAATCTAGCAAAGTTTCTCTTCCACCTTCTTTACAAACTTTATTTTTAACATTTTCCTGATTCATTAATGGCTTGCACTTTAATTAGATGATTCAAAATAGTTTACTAATATAACTATTAGATTAAATATAAAATTGCCAATATTTGATCATTTTGTTCTGCAACATTGACAAATCCATATGGCTAATCATCCTATGAATTTGTGGACAACACCCTGCAGGCTGGTCACAGTGAGGGTTGTTACTACCCCTATGCCCAAATGGGCAGGGAAAGATGTAAGATCCTAAAGACAGAGAGGTGGTGTGATGAGAACTGCCCTGCAGAAACTCAGAGCTTCTGCGTTGAGACACAGCCAACCTGTGGCAACTCCATATAAGGAGAAACAAATAACCCTCTTTCACTTACTTACTCGACCTCCCAAAGTCAGTGTATGGTCTCCATTAACTGAGTGCAGTCAGAAACCAGAGGACAAAGGAATACTGATGCAGACACAGAATCAGGTCCAGGGCAGTGGGAGTGGGGTGCAGAGTGCATTTGAAAGCACAGACAAAAACCATCTAGCACAGTGTGAATGGCAAAGGGATATTTTCTTTTTCTTTTTTTTTTTTTTTTTGCTTAACTTTGTTATGCAAGCATCTGTAGATAGCCTCATCTTTCAAAACTGGCATTTGACAGTTCTGCCAACCTAATGACAAAAATGCGTGAAATCTGCCCAGAGCATGCATCCTGCATGACAGTGGCGTGGCATGGGAAAGCAGCTTAATTTGGCTTCTAATGGCTCCACAGTGTTAATAACGTTTGCTGTATGACTATATCCAGAAATGCATTATGAGTCATTTTTTAAAACCATAGTGTCTGTCATCAGAGACAGTCCTGTCTTACCTGCAGAATAAGGCAACCAAATGAGCTCACCTCAATGGGACTTTTTTTCTGTCAACTAATGTAAGTAAAATTTATCTTATTTAACTCATTCTTTAAAAATCACAAGAGAGGGGTGGATATTATCCCATTTTTTATTGTTTTGATTTTTGCCATAAGGCAAAATCTTGCCAGAAAGAGATAGAGAGAGACGAAAAGTGAGAAATTACTCCCTGGGTGGGGAAATGGCCACACCATAATCCCTTCTCCTCCATTCTTCTCTCAGGATCTTGGGCATACATGCACATGCACCCAGTGTGTTTTGCAAGCCACTGGGTCCCTGGACTCAACCACAGAGTGGGTATTGGGGGACTCAGCACCTTAACCACCATGCCACTGTTAGCCCCATATTATCTCTTTTTTTAAAGTTAAGGAAACTCAAGCTCGATAATGGCAAATGTTTTCCATACTATGAATACTTAGAGATGAAATTCAAACCTAAACCTGTCTCTCACCAAAGCTGATCTCTCTCTTCTATTCAGTGTGGTTCTCCTGATTATCTTTATTTATTTCCTTAGGAAGCTGTGTTGTTTTTCTTTTAATTCTTGTTTTTGTTTTTTTGGGTTTTTTTTCTTTGTTTTTGAGAGATTTTTGCCATGGGCACATGTGATCGCCAGAAAGACAGAGAGAGACAGAGAGACAGAAAGCGAGAAATCACCCCCCAAGGAGGATGGCCACACCGCAATCCCTTCTCCTCCATTCTCCTCTTGGGATCTTGGGCACGCACGCACACGCACCAGGCATGAGTTTAAGCCACCAGGTCTGGGACTCAAACCATGGTCGACTACATGGGAGCCCAGTGACATAGCCATTACGCCAACTCCTGGTCCCAGGGAGCTGTGTTTTTAAAGAAATGGGCACAGTCATTCCAAAGTGGTGACTGTCCATAATTGAATATGCACACATGTTCCTTATGCAAGGAACTCATGCTGAGTGCAAAACAGATGTAATTGTTTGCAATTATCTAAGTCTCTCAGCACAGAACAGTCAAGATGTTTTGCTTTCTATTTCCCATTAAGGTTGAAAGCCTAGAGAAAGTTACTGTTTACCAAGAGTATACCAGGAAATGGCACTTCAGTTATTGAATAATCAACCACACTGACCTGAGAGCATAATTATAGATTGAGTAGACTCTCTTTCATTTCTTTTTTGAGGGTCTCACACCTTTATCTCATGCCCTAGCTTGCTCCCCAGCTATTCATGTAAAGGGAAATTCTCCATTGTGAGATCTTGTTAAACCTAACTTCCTGAAATTACATTAAATTCAGGATTTTATTCTGAGTTCACTACTAAATTTTAGAAGTCATTTAACTTCATCCATTAAATGAGAACAACAAAAACTGCCCTTTTTGCTTCTAAGGGCTTGTTCTGAAGTTTCAAAGCATAGGACTTTTACAAGTTTCCAAGGGTACATTGCAAACAATTGCTTACGAGGTGGTTGTGAACCCGCTCCTTGCGGCTAACCTATGGGTCTCTGTACGTGGCTTTTCCAACGAATCTATTACTCTGTTCATTACTCTAGCAGTCTCATTTGTTATCATTGCTGGATGTTTTCACTTTTGTAGGATGTTTTAGGGGCAGACATGCATAGGCACTCTGTCGGTCACTTTACTCAGGCTGTCTGCTAGCCACCAAATCAGTCCAATCTGCCTTGCAGCTACTCCATTGCCTAGAAACCCATGATAAAACCATAAGCAGGTGTCTAGAGACCCAGTTTTGCCACCAGTCAGCTGCTTCCCCAGGAGAATGGGAGTGTGAGCCTAGGGGAGCCAAAAAAATGAACAGGAATTTTTCTTCTAGGTGTTAAAGAAATGAGGTTGATTCACCCACACACATTAGCAAGTTTGAAAAAAGGGAGGAAGTATTTGACAGCAAAAAGAATGTAACATTCTCTGATGGAAAGGATGTACTGGCAATATCCTTGATTTGATGGTGGCATAATCCATGTTTTTGAAAAACTATATTGTGTGCAATGGAGATCTATAATTAAATTTAAAAGAATATATTAGAAAAAAAGAAAAAAGGAAAGAAACTTGATGGTGTGACTAGAACTTAGTTATCCAATCGATATATATTTAACTAACAGATATGCTATTTTTTAGCAATGTAAGAACAAATTTCCCAAAGAAAAATTATAAAATACTTGAAAGATAAAACTTCATCCAATCAACCAAGTATTTAATGAGCAGCCAAAACTAATATTTTAATCCTCAGGCTGCATGAAATTCATACTATTTTGGAAAATATGTATTTATGACATCCTCTTTGTCTTTTTTTTTTTTTTTTTTTTTTGGAGAGGTTTTTGCTATAGGGTGCATGCGCTCACCAGAGAGACAGACACAGAAAGCAAGAAATCACCCCCTGGGGGAGATGGCCACGCCACAATCCCTTCTCCTCCATTGTCCTCTCAGCATCTTGGGCACGCATGCACACGTGCCTAGCGTGAGTTTAAGCCACCAGGTCCGGGACTCGAACCGCAGTCGACTACATGGGAGTCCAGCGACATAGCCATTCCACTCACTGCTGGTCCCCATCCTCTTTACAATTTTTAGCAATGAGCCAAACCTCACATGGAAATAATTTCCTGTGT